CATATTTTCAGACCTGAGTATGTTGTGGTTTGGGAATCTGGCAGTTTGTAGTGGTGGAGCAGCTCAAATTGTTTCTTCTTTGGCAGTATAGTTTCCCGTATATCGTTAAGTTCTTCATGATCTTCCGGGTCGTATTCTGATAACTCGATTTCTTCTATATCGGAGTCAGATGGATCTTCGTTATCGTCCACAATCTTTTCAGATACGAAATGCTCGTCGTCACTATTTTTTCCCCCTAAATCTTCTAACTTCTGGCGAATGTATCCTTGCTGTTCCTCAAGATCAAGTGCACTAAGTTATCGTGGAGTGAGCCATTCACCATTTGCATTTTTACTTTTATAAATTTTATTCCGTTGCGTAACACTTGGTTAGAAGAACATTATATCTCTTCAGCCTCCAAGTTCGCACTACATGGATTGAAGTAAATATTAGAGCTTAAGTACTTTTTTGCCTACACGTTCTTCAGGTTTGTTCAAGTTTTGAACTACCGGATGTAACAAGAAACATAACAAGAATTATTTGCGTCTACTTAAAAAGCCCTGTTTCAATAATCATACAAGTTTTGTACCTAAACAATTCTTTTTGCATACATTCAAAACCAACGATCATAGAGTGTGTTCTAGTAAACGCATTATTTATACAGTGAAATAACATATTTCTCAAATCTTTCTTCACATATTTAAAATAAATATATTTCCTCATAAAATAACAATACAAATTTAGCCAGTTTAAAAGAAATGTGTTAAATATTCACATTTTCGTCACAACATAATGCCGTTTCCCATACAAAATGTATGTGCATACCCGGGTATGCTGCTGTTGACGTACGTATAATTTTTCTGCTGTTGAGATAAAGGTTAATTTAATCAGCTGACCACAAGGGTATATAGGTAATGGGCGAGTCCGCGCTTCCCCCTCCCCTTCGCCCACCCCAACAAACAAATAAAGCTTATCAGTCCTGTAAACCCACCTCTGACAACTGTCCCAGCTACCGTCCTGAGCTACCCTTATACAAAAAATAAAAAAAAATTGTATATGAAAAATATTATGAATACTGAGAAAAAACGTAGGCGGCTTAATTTTCTGAGCACAAGTATTCATACCATATTCTGTCATAATAAAAAATTTTCACAATAAGAACGGTTTACTATCCAAATGGATGACTTTTGTTTATTTTTAGATATATAAAAATTTGGGCGTGAAACTTGTACAACCCAGGCCGAAGGTTCCTCAAAAAACTTGTGGTTTCAAAGAAACGAATTCGCAGCCATGTTAGCCATTTGACTTTTGCTGAGATTATGACATTTTCATCAAAATCAAGCTACCAGATTGAAAATTATAATATTTTTTTTCTGAAAAGAATTTGATCTACAAAGAAAAAATTAAATTTTTTTTTTAATAATAAAAAGAAAAAAAAGTTGCACATTTGGAAGCTGCAAAAATAACAGATACCACTGCAAGGAGGTCGGTATAAACTTGTTTCAATTTCCAGCAATTCCTTTTGTGACGCAAAAATGGTTTGAAGCCTGCGGCGTGAGCAAGGAAAGCCTTTTAGAATATCTGTACGTATGTTCTCAACATTTTGCTAGCACTAATATTAGCATTAGCCAGAACAAGACCATACTCTCCAAAAGTGCAGTGCCGCGAAATAAAAGATAATGGAAAACTGTGTTGACCAAAACATACATTATCCATTGTACTTCGAAGTAAAATTGCATTCTTTGTATGTATATATTTTCAATACATATGTGTATCATACATCATGTGTATTTGGAGTGCAATGGGGTATAGTCGTTGCGCTGGGTATGTAGTTACAGTTGCATGGCTATACTCAATCCCGACTCTTGCGTCCTCGTGCGCGCACTCTGGGCAACGTGAGCAACCCATGTGCGAGATGCGGTAACCAATCTGAGTGGAGCCTTGGGTCACGGCATAAAGAGAGGGAGCTTCGGTAGGGCCACTCCGACTTATTCGGTTTAAGGCTCACTGAAGTCTGCAGCGTCTGTTCACCAGTAGGTGCGGCTGAAAGCGGGTGTCTGCTTGGAGCAAGCGGCTCGCTATATAAACGTGTATTTGGTTGCGAAACCATCCCCGTCCCAGCAATGGGTTGTGCGCTGGGCTTGCGACCCGCCACGTAAAAACCACTTCCAGTGAAGAAGCAAGGCAAAGCCTCGGATGAGACCTGTGTGGACCCCAATCCTAGGGCTTGGAGCCCCCCACAACACTCATGTACATATACACATAATTTTAAATTGTACATAAAATACATATGTAATTGTTAAGTAATACTTTGAATTGAAAATACATACTTTGAATTGTAGCCACATATTGTACAGCACTAAGCGATTTGAACTACCGTTATAATTCATAGAGTCATATACATAAATACAATTGTACATACACTTTAAGCACGATGGCAATAAAGAACAAAGCGCAAAGGACAACGGGACATACGCGACGCGACTGCGGCCGGCAATTTGTATAAATAACCGGCCAGCAATCAAAGCAGACAGGAGTCGTCAGGCGACTGCTGCAGAGTCAGGAGCTTTTGCACACACAGGGTAGGCTCTACTCCCTATGTTAGGTATCAGGAGACGGGCAGGTTTTACTTCCACTACTATAGAACTTAGCTAGGTATTTAGAGAGGGGCAGGTTCTACCCCCTCTCTTGGAAGGTTGTGGGTAGGTTCTACTCCCGCTCCTTTACTATAGCTGTAATTATATTTGGTGGGACGGAGCTACGCCCACCAATCGGAGAGGAACGGGTAGGTTCTACTCCCGCCCTCTTAACGTACGATTAAGACAGACGAGTGCTTTACTATAAACCGAAAACGAACTCTTATTATTTTTGTTGAGAACCCGGCAGCCGATGAGCATACCCCAGCATAACGCGGAGTTCGTCACAAATGGCGCCCGAGCAGGGACTAGATTACACAATACTAGGACAAGTTAGGCAGTAAACTAAACAGTGAAAGTTAAATGTGGAAGAATGTGAAAAAAAGGACTCAAGAGAGAGAATAGAAAGTGAAAGTGCCGGAGCAGACTTCAGAGAAAGACCAGAAAGTGAGTGAAGTGAGAAAAGACTCCAAGTGAAAAAATAAGTGCAGAGCAATCGTGTGAAAAGACCCAGGAACTGGCAAAACATAGTAATATTTTCTAAGAACACAGTTCCTCTCAGAGGTTAAAGACGACCCAAAGTACACGAGGCTTCTGACGGAACTTTCCGCAAAGCACGACTGGGCGTCACCAATCCCTTTCACGGACGTACCGTAATCGGCAGAAACGAGGATATGGCAGCCCTCGTACCCCCACCAGCACACCCCACTCTCACAACCCATTCCGAAGCGGCTCACGCCACGCTTATGGACCGAGTGAGAAAGTGGGGCCTTAAATTTGACAGCGTTAAAGACTCCCTAGGGTTCCTAGAACGCGTTGAGGAGCTAGCCGAAGGCTACGAAATCAGCCTCGACGTATTGCCGAAAGCAATGCCTGAATTGCTGCGAGATCGAGCACTATGCTGGTTCCGCAACAACAACAAACGATGGCCAACCTGGGACCAATTTAGACGGGATTTTATAAAGTTCTTCGTGTCCTCGCGGTACTATGAGAGGTTAGACGACGAGATCTGCCAGCGAGTCCAGCGAGTACAAGAACCCTTTAAGGACTACGTAATCGAGCTGCAGAATCGGATGAGATATGCTGAAGGCAGTGAAGAGCAAAAACTCGACCGCGTGTACCGAAACAGTCGCAACGAGTACCAGCCCTACATCAAGCGGCGTGACTTTGCAACGCTGGAGGAGCTGGTAAGTCTTTCTGAAGATTTCGAGAATATTACTTCCGACAGAAATACGCAGCCACCCAGTCAGCGACCAACGCCACCTCGGCGCCTTGAAATACACTCCGAAACTTTTAGGCGTGCGCCCATTCCTCAGAGGCTACAGGAAGAGCGGTATCACGTTCTCAGGCCGACACCGATAGACCCCAGTAGTGCGGGGCCGTGCCAGCATAGCGGTGATGACCGTAGTACAGCGCGGAATGATGCAGGCCCGATAGATCCAAGAACCGCATGTAGGCGATGCGGAGAGAGCGGCCACGTAGCGTACGGATGCCGTAACCACAGAATTGACTTCTGTTGGGAGCGTGGCCGTCGCGGTGTGCAAACAAGAGACTGCTGCAGAAGGATGCAGGGAAATGAACACGGGCCCCGCCAAGAGCGAGGAGCGGATACCCAAATGACGATAACTCGCACGCATTAAGGGCGAAGGAAGAATCGTAGCAACCGCCACACTAGACGAGACGCAAGTGCAGGCGGCAGTAGACACTGGAGCCACAAAGAGCTTCAAGGTGGTGGAAACAATGGTTCTGATGGGCGATGGCAGCCCAACTATGATACGCGAGGCTATAGATGCGACAGTCGGTTTGGGTGACCAAACCCACGACAGTGAGCTCTTAATTCTACCCGGACTTGGAAACGATATGATCTTAGGGATGGACTGGCTCTGCCAGGCACGTACGTCCATATGCTGCGGAGGAGAGTCGTTGACGCTAAAGGCGACTGATACGCCTTCAGGAGAGGCCACATGCACCACTGTGGCTGAGCAAATTAGCACGAACCCCCAGAAGGCTCCACAACTGCCAAACGTCCTAAAACCCCCGTTGAATATAGAGAGCCCCGAGGTTAAAGAATTCTTGGACCGGGAACTGAGCGTCTTCGAAGAAATGACCGGCACAAGATAACCATGAGAGACGACCACCCTATTAATCAGCGCTATTTTCCGAAGAACCACCGCATGCAGGATATAATTAACAAAGAGATAGACGAGCTTCTGGACAAACGCTGTATAGAGCCTTCGCACAGTCCACATAGTGCTCCAATTGTGTTGACAAAGAAGAAAAACGGGAAGTGGAGACTATGCGTGGACTACCGTCAGTTGAACGCACGGTCAGTGCCCGACGCGTACCCACTACCTAGGATTCACCACATCCTAGAGCGGCTTCACAATGATACTCGTATTCCATGACAAATTTTCTAAATGGGTAGAGATTGTATCACTCCGGAAAGCGACGACAGAGGGCCTGAGTAAGTCTTTCCGGGAGCGAATCCTTGCTCGATTCGGCGTTTCGAAGGTTCTGGTGACGGATAACGGAGCGCAATTCACCAGTCCTTATACCCCACAGGAAAACACGACAGAGAAAACGAACCGTAACGTGAAACGGATCAAAGCAGAAATTATGCTAGCATTGAATACTAGCGTCTGTGAATCCATCGGCTACAGCCCGGCATCCCTAACACAAGGACGCGAGCCGAGACTCCCAAGGGCAGTCTACGATGAGACCACGTTCGGCACGGGGCTGAACTCAACGACGCCAAACGAGAAGGCCACAACACTAAAGGAGTATTCATTCTGGTGCACCAAAACCAACAGCGGGGATCAGCGGAACAATCGCGGCACTATAACCTACGGAGGAGACAATGGAGACCAGCCATAGGCGATCCGGTGCTACTCAGTGAGCACCCACAATCGAAGGCAGTAGACAACTTTGCGGCAAAGTTGGCCCCGAAGTATAGCGGGCGGTACACGGTAAGAAACTTCCCTTCACCAGTTATAGTGGAGGTGGAAGACACGGAAAGACGAGGACAGCCCACATAAGCGAAGTAAAGTCTTTTTACGAGAGGCGAGACGAACTTCCCGGAAGCAGCAAACAACCCCCCAGCGAAAATACGAAGAACCAAAACAAAGACACAGAGACAAAGGAAGGAAATATAATTAAGAGGAGTTTTGTGAGCAAAGGAGTAGATAAACAAACAAACTTGAGGAAGATTTCAGAGAAGAATTACAGAGGGCTAGCGATATATGAGGGAAAAATTTGCGTAGGAAATGCTATAGAAAAAAGAAAGAGGAATATATATTTAAAAAAAAAAATGAAGCCTTAGGAAAAATTCTTAAGGAAAAATTTATGAGGAATGAAATTAAAAAAAAAACAAAAAAAAAGAGAAAAACGAGGAAAATATGAAAGAACCGAATCGTCTCAGGGAAATAAAAAAAAGAACAAAATCAAAATTTCGAAGTTTTAGAGGAAAATTTTTTTTTGTAAGGAAATTTTAAGGCAGTGGAAAAAATGTTAAGGAAAAGCTCTTTAAGGAAAATAAATGCTAAGGATTTTTTTTGAATATATTAAAAAAAAATAAAAAATTTGTTTGAGGAAAATTTTATGAAAAAAGAAATTTAAGGAAAAAATACTTTGAGGAAATCTTTATGAAAGAAAACCAAAAAAAAATAAAAAATTTTGAAAATGGGATAAATTTATAAATAAAACTTTTTAAGAAAATGCAATTTTAAACGAAAAAATGGGGAAAACAAGAAAATTTTTACGAACAGTTTGCGAGCGGGGGAAAAAAATAATAATAAAAAGTCAAGAAAGTTTTGAAGGAAAAATTTCAGAAAAACAATCAAGAAAATTTTTAAGAAGGGAAATTATTATATGTACATATTTCTTAACACACTTAAATTTGAATTACAAAAAAAAAAAAACTAATCTGCAAAATTTTTATTTATCAACTGTTGGTCACTGTACCTAACAATTTAGATGCAAATAAACACAGCAACAAACACACAGCATATACAATACAGGGTTTAAGCGAAACTGTGCGGAAGATCAGGAAAACAGCTAGTGGCGATCTCCTGTTTCAGCTGAATAAGTCTGAGGACGTAAATACTGCGAAACTTCAAGAGGCAGTCGAAGGAGTACTGGCAGGTAAAGCAGAAGTCAGAACCCTATCTGAAATGGTTCATATAGAGATACATGATATCGACGAAGTTACGACAAGCGAAGAGGTGTGCTTAGCTTTAAATGGTCAGGGTGGGTCCACTAAAGTGCTAGTATCCGACATCCGGTCGATGCGAAAAGCGTACGGAGGCACACAGACCGCAACCTTACTCCTACCCGAGAGCTTTGCCAATAAGCTAGTAGGCCAAGGTAAAATCAGAATTGGCTGGGTTATCTGCCGAATAAGACATAAAATACAGCCAAAGCGCTGCTATAAATGTTTTGAGTTCGGCCACATATCCAAGGGCTGTCGGAGCAGCAAAATCGTGCTTCAAGTGCGGTCAAACTGGGCATACGGCCAAACTATGCACAAATGCACCACGGTGCTTATTATGCGTAAAACGCGGCAGCAATCCTACCAGCCACCAGGCAGGAGGCAACAAGTGTCCGGTATATCAACTGGCGCTAAGCAAAATAAAGGTATGATGAGACTTTTGCAGCTTAACCTCAACCACTGCCCAGCGGCGCAGGACCTCCTGTCGCAAACAATATTAGAGGAAAAAATCGATATTGCGATACTCAGTGAGCCATACAAATCGAAATCGTCTCAGTGCTGGCTTCAGGATCAAAGCGGAAAAGCGGCTCTCTGGTCATGCGGGAACCCAGCTCGCTGGATGCGGGGTGCCGTGTCCGAAAATGGCTTCGTTGGTGCGGAAATCGGCAACTTGTACGTATACAGCTGCTACATTGCGCCAAGCATAAGTATACAGGCATTCGAAAATATATTAAATCTAACAATTGATGCTAGAGGCAGGCAGAATGTTCTTATAGCAGGCGACTTCAACGCGTGGTCGCAAGAGTGGGGATGCCGCAGGTCAAGCCCAAGAGGGAGGGCTCTTCTGGAGGCTTTCGCTTGTTTGGATGTCGTTTTACTAAACACGGGAACTGAACACACTTTCAGCCGAAACGGTTTTGGGTCAATAATAGACCTGACCTTTATCAGTTCCGGGCTATATAGATTCACTGAATGGAAACATATCACGTGTTATACGCAAAGTGATCATTCAGCTTTAATTTGCAATATCAACTGCAGACGAGAACTGTCTAAGCGGACTCACAACCCCGGAGTATCGCACGGGTGGAAAACCAGTACTTTCGACCCCGAATCGTTTACCAGCATGCTACCATCCACCGTTTACCAAGGGTCAGCAGACTCCATCGCCGAACACCTAATGGCCGACATTCGCGCAGCTTGCGATGCATCAATGGCCAGGAGAACTTCCTCCACGTATCGTCACTCGGTCTACTGGTGGAACGATAACATAGCGGACCTGCGAAAGAAATGTCTAAGATGTAGGCGAAATGCTCAGAGAGCTAGGGAAAGAGACAACTTCGTGGTATTTCGTGCGGCTTATAAGAGTGCACGCGACGCACTAAAGAAAGGAATTAAAGAAAGTAAACGGCAATGCTTCTTAGAGCTCTGCGATGATGCTGAACGGAATCCTTGGGGCTCGGCTTACAAAATTGTCTCAAAAAAGCTGAAAGGCAGAAACATGAACCCGATAAACGCTGCATACCTAAAAGTCCGTCGTGGGGACACTATTTCCTGTACAGAGACCGTTAGTGTCCACTATGGATGGCGAGCCGTTGAGTGTTGTTGACCCTGTAACGGAAGAAGAAATCACACTCGCAACATCGAAGGTGGAAGTAAAGAAAGCTCCTGGCCCCGATGGCGTACCCAACATAGCTCTTAAGCTTGCAGTCCACCAGTGCGCTTCCTTATTCCTACAAGTTTTTAATGAGTGTTTCGCGAATGGAACTTTCCCTCAAATCTGGAAGAGGCAAAAGTTGGTTTTAATACCTAAGCCGGGTAAACCTCTGGATGATCCCTCAAGTTTTCGGCCTATTTGTCTGCTAGACACAGCAGGTAAAATCTTGGAGCATATTATAGCTAAACGTCTCGACAGGGAAGTCCAAGAGAAAGGCGGTATATCGGCAAACCAATTCGGGTTTAGAAAAGGGAAATCCACTGTGAATGCGGTATCAGAAGTCATTAAGTTAGCACGGGATGCAACAAGCGGTACACGGTAGCTGGGAGGAGCAAAAGAATACTGCGTTATTGTTACCTTAGACGTAAAGAACGCGTTCAACTCTGCCAACTGGGCTAAAATACTCGATAGACTGGAGAGCATTGGCATTTCTTATTATCTTCGGAGACTAATACGAAGTTATTTCCATTCGCGAGTGTTGTGGTACGAAACGGAGGAGGGCCTGCAACGGGCTGAGATAACAGGTGGCGTTCCACAAGGATCCGTACTAGGCCCCTTGCTATGGAACATTATGTATGATGGAGTTCTCCGTACCGAATTGCCTGAGGGATCATCCATAGTGGGTTTTGCAGACGAAACTGCTTGATGTCATATGCGAAAAGGTAGCATCATCAGTCGGCGTGATTAATAGCTGGTTAAATAGCTTCGGCCTGAAGCTAGCCGAGCAAAAAACAGAAGCAATATCTATCTCCAGTCGTAAGAAACTAGAGGAGGTAGCGCTAAAAATTGGCGACCACACCATCACGACGAAACCCACAATTAAATACCTGGGAGTGATGCTAGACAAGCGTCTTACTTTCAGCGCCCACCTGAGCTATGTGAGAGAGAAAGCAGCTTCAACGATCACGGGACTATCGCGAATAATGCTTAATACGCGAGGACCGAAACAGCGCAGGCGTTTACTCTTAGCGAGCGTGGTTAAAAGCCAAATACTGTATGCGGCCCCAATTTGGTCAACCGCCGCACAGTGTCCATCATACTTCCGCGGAGTCAACTCAACATACCGTTTATGCGCGCTCCGAGTTTGCAGCGCCTTCAGAACAGTGTCGGACGAAGCAGCTTTCGTAATCGGCAGTATGATACCCGTAGATATACTAGCAAGAGAATCGACGGTCCTTGCATGCACGCGGCATACTCTAACTCAATTAGACCGACATCAAGCCCGGCAAAGCAGCGTTACGGAGTGGCAAAACAGGTGGAATAGTACGACTAAAGGTCGTTGGACCTATCGCTGCATACCAAACCTGGTATCCTGGCTTAATAGAACGCATGGCGAAGTAGATTTTTATCTGAGCCAGTTCTTGAGTGGTCATGGCTGTTTTAAGGCATACCTGTTTAAATTCAAACATGAGCACGACCCGTACTGCGACTTCTGTCTACGTGGCGTGGAAGATGTCCACCACGTATTCTTTGAGTGCCCTCGTTTCCATCGGCAGATGAACCAACTTAAACTTGCCGTTGGAGGGGTGTTTACGCCACAGTCAGTAGTTGACTATATCGTGAAAGGAACCAGCGAATGGGCATCAACCAGCGATACACTAACGTCGATTTTGAAGGAACTGAGGGACCTAGAGAGACAGCGGCGTATCAGCCGTGCTTAAGCCAACTCTTACCATAGCCGCGGACTGCAACTAAACTATGATGTTCACCAACCAAAGCGTAGGCGCGGACTGGAACCTAGGCCGTTCCAGCCGCTCGAGCAGTGCGGCTTAGAAAGTTGTGCTTTCAGACCGCACCTTGAACATGAAATCTAACAATTAAAGCGCATGCGCGGACTGGAACCTAGGGCGTTCCAGCCGCTCAGGTGGCAATCTCGAAAATTTGTGAAGTCGATAAATACGCGCGGACTGGAACCTATGGCGTTCCAGCCGCCAAGTGGCAATATCGAAAACT